GGTCTGAGGGCAGGGGGTGCTGTAGAGGTCAGCTCACGTTTTAAACACCAAGGGGTCTGGGGGGGGGGTGTTGTAGTGGTCAGCTCACGTTTTAAACACCACGGGGTCTGGGGGGGGTGCTGTAGTGGTCAGCTCACGTTTTAAACACCGAGGGGTCTGGGAGGTGGGGTGCTGTAGTGGTCAGCTCACGTTTTAAACACCACGGGGTCTGGGGGGGGGGGTGCTGTAGTGGTCAGCTCACGTTTTAAACACCGAGGGGTCTCTGGAGGGGGGGTCGTGCTGTAGTGGTCAGCTCACGTTTTATACACCGAGGAGGTCTGGGAGGGGGGGGTGCTATAGTGGTCAGCTCACATTTTAAACACCGTGGGGGTTTGGGGGGGGGTGCTGTAGTGGTCAGCTCACGTATTAAACACCAAGGGGTCTGGGGGGTGGGGTGCTGTGGTGGTCAGCTCACGTTTTAAACACCGAGGTGGTCTGGGAGGGGGGGTGCTGTAGTGGTCAGCTCACGTTTTAAACACCACGGGGTCTGGGGGGAGGGGGGTGCTGTAGTGGTCAGCTCACGTTTTAAACACCGAGGGGTCTGGGAGGGGGGGTGCTGTAGTGGTCAGCTCACGTTTTATACACCGAGGGGGTCTGGGGGGAGGGGGGTGCTGTAGTGGTCAGCTCACGTTTTAAACACCTAGGGGGTCTGGGTGGGGGGGAGGCTTTAGTGGTCAGCTCACATTTAAACACCGAGGTGGTCTGGGAGGGGGGGGTGCTGTAGTGGTCAGGTCACGTTTTAAACACCTAGGGGGTCTGGGGGGGGGTTGCTCTAGTGGTCAGCTCACGTTTTAAACCCCACGGGGTCTGGGAGGGGGGGTGTGCTGTAGTGGTCAGCTCACGTTTTAAACACCACGGGATCTGGGGGGGGGAGCTGTAGTGGTCAGCTCACGTTTCAAACACCGAGGGGTCTGGGAGGGGGGGTGCTGTAGTGGTCAGCTCACGTTTTAAACACCACGGGGTCTGGGGGGGGTGCTGTAATGGTGAGCTCACGTTTTAAACACCTAGGGGGTGTGAGGGGAGGGGGTGCTGTAGTGGTCAGCTCACGTTTTAAACACCGAGGCGTCTGGGAGGGGGGTGCTGTAGTGGTCAGCTCACGTTTTATACACCTAGAGGGTCTGGGTGGGGGGGAGGCTTTAGTGGTCATCTCACATTTAAACACCGAGGTGGTCTGGGAGGGGGGGTGCTGTAGTGGTCAGGTCACGTTTTAAACACCTAGGGGGTCTGGGGGAGGTTGCTGTAGTGGTCAGCTCACGTTTTAAACACCACGGGGTCTGGGAGGGGGGGGGGTGCTGTAGTGGTCAGCTCACGTTTTAAACACCACGGGGTCGGGGGGGGGGGGGTGCTGTAGTGGTCAGCTCACGTTTCAAACACCGAGGGGTCTGGGAGGGGGGGTGCTGTAGTTGTCAGCTCACGTTTTAAACACCACGGGGTCTGGGGGGGGGGGGGTGCTGTAGTGGTGAGCTCACGTTTTAAACACCTAGGGGGTGTGAGGGGAGGGGGTGCTGTAGTGGTCAGCTCACATTTTAAACACCGAGGAGGTCCGGGGGGGGGGGGGTGCTGTAGTGGTCAGCTCACGTTTTAAACACGACGGGTCTATGGGGGGGGGGGTGCTGTAGTGGTCAGCTCACGTTTTAAACACCTAGGGGGTCTGGGGGGGGGGGGGTGCTGTAGTGGTCAGCTCACGTTTTTAACACCACGGGGTCTGGGGGGGGGGTGCTGTAGTGGTCAGCTCACGTTTTAAACACCGAGGGGGTCTGGGGGGAGGGGGATGCTGTAGTGGTCAGCACACGTTTTAAACACCGAGGTGGTCTGAGAGGGGGGGGGGGTGCTGAAGTGGTCAGCTCACGTTTTAAACACCGCGGGGTCTGGGGGGGGGGAGCTGTAGTGGTGAGCTCATGTTTTAAACACCGAGGGGACTGGGAGGGGGGGTGCTGTAGTGGTCAGCTCACGTTTATACACCGAGGGGGTCTGGGGGGAGGGGGGTGCTGTAGTGGTCAGCTCATGTTTTAAACACCTAGGGGGTCTGAGGGCAAGGGGTACTGTAGTGGTCAGGTCACGTTTTAAACACCTAGAGGGTCTGGGGGGGGGGGTGCTGTAGTGGTCAGCTCACGTTTTAAACACCACGGGGTTTGGGGGGGGGAGTGCTCTAGTAGTCAGCTCACGTTTGAAAGACCACGGGGTCTGGGGGTGGGGGGCTGTAGTGGTCAGCTCAAGTTTTTAAACACCTAGGAGGTCTGAGGGCAGGGGGTGCTGTAGAGGTCAGCTCACGTTTTAAACACCTAGGGGTCTGGCGGGGGTGCTGTAGTGGTCAGCTCACGTTTCAAACACCGAGGGGGTCTGGGGGGAGGGGGTGCTGTAGTGGTCAGCACACGTTTTAAACACCACGGGGTCTGGGGGGGGGGGTGCTGTAGTGGTCAGCTCACGTTTTAAACACCGAGGGGGTCTGGGGGGG